AGATAATAACCAGTAAAAATCACCAGAAGCTAGTTTACATGTCAACCATGATAAAATAAAATATAAACATCGGCCGTCATTCGTCAACGGTCATTTCTGTTGTAGAGTGAAGTTTAAAACTGAACCGTAGAAAAGTTCTGGAGACTTTGATCCAAACTGAAGCAGCAGCAGCGTTTGTTTCCTCCAGAGCGGGTCAGAAGGTTAAGAAGTCCAATTAAACACAGAAGCTGCTCGCTGGCTTCAAGCTGCTTTAACGCAGCATCCAATCAAACGCGTCCGTCAGGAACCAGGTCGGATCAGAATCAACCCGGTTCCTGAGCGACGGACGGCAGAACGAGTTCATGAACGTAAGCGGAGCAGTGAAATGGAGAAGTGAGAGGAGGAACTGGAGGAAATGCCAGCGCTGGAGGAGCGTTGGGTCTGAAGAGCAGCCAGCTGGAGCAGAACCAAAGCTTTGGCTCCGGTTCTGCTCAGCTCAGCGTCACTGTGGAGCGTCGACGCCTCACAGGCCCGGTTCTGTTCTGCTGCAGCTCTGGAGCAGACAGACGGTTGAGCTGCAGGTTGTTAGTGGTTCAGACGACGGTTAGCTGGTTAACAACAAGTTAACGACAAGTTAACGACAAGTTAACGACAAGTCATCCTACTTTTTAAGATGTATTAATATGAATATATGATGTCATTTTATTTGAAGTTTCAAACTAATTTTTACAAAATATTTATTACATACATAAATATAATTATATAATATAATTGTATTTTATAAATAAAATTTTGAACCTTTTTTTATTTTTTAAAAATATATTTAAAAATGTAGAATATAATCATATAATTGTACTTAATTTATTAAGCAATTATACACTTTTTATATTATAGTTAAAATGTCTGAATATAATTATAAATAATATAATACATTTAATTTATTGTATTTAAAAATGTTCAATTTCATAATAAGTTGTTTATAAATAAATCCAGCTATGTAATATGTTTGTATTTCATTTTATATATTTTTTCAAGTTTTATTTTATAGTATATTCAACAAACAAATTAGTTTAATATAATTTTAAGTTTTTAAGGTTTTTCTCAGATTTGTTTTTTTTTTTGAAGATTTCTGTTAAATTTAAGATAATAATCAATATAATTAGTTGGTTAACAGTGTTTTAATATCTGTA